GCTGACGTCCCCTCCACCCCTCCCCTCTGGATGCAGCTGCTGTCCAGGAGATTGAAGAGTGGAGTGTCAGGATGGAGACATGTTTTTCCCAGCACCTTTTTTTCCCTGAGTGAACAAAGTGATCGGTAACGATCACCCTGTTCATTTATGACTGAATAGTAAACTGTGTTTACGATGTGTCAGTTTGTGAATGGAGTCTCTATATAGACTCCAATCTCATTCATTACAGTGCAGCTCAGGTTGCAGAAGAAGGGACTGTCTTCAGTCCCTTTCTCTGTCTCAAAAAGACATTAGGGGTTCGTTTAGATCCCTGATAACTATCCAAAGCCCCCTTCCTCACAAATTACAAAAAATTTCTAAAAAAGTAAATAAATAAAATTGTAAAAAAATAGCAAAAATAGAAAAACATAGAAAGGGTAGATTTAGACATGCGTCTAAATCTCCCGTGCCACTGAAGCCCTTTGGGATCTTGCTTCAGAGGCCACTGACAGGCAATGAGCGATTCAAGACCTCCTCACCACCTGTTTGAAACCCATTTTTGCAGACAAATGCACTGCAACCGTGTGCATTGCGAACAGTTGAGGGGCCATTGCAGCACTTTCCTATTGACTTCAATGTGTAGCGTTTGGAAAGCAACATCACTACAAGTCAAGTCAACTTTGTAGCAGACGCAATGTGCAGCATCGTGGCCGCAGCATGTAAACACCCCCATCCGTTGCCTATTGCAGCTTATGGGGGTGGTTGGCAGGCTGCAGAAACGCAGCTCAAGTGCACATTTTTGCTACCCCCAACTACAAGTGTAAACAAGGCCTAAGGCTTCGTTCACACAGGTCATACTACAGTGAGCCATTGTTTAGCGGCACAGGAATGCATGGGTGTTCTGTGCATCCCGCAGGCCGTCCCATTGATGTCAGTTGGGACACAGCAGCTGCATATGAATGCACAGATGTTCCATGCATTCCTGTGGAGGCAGTCCCATTCATGTCAAATGGGACACAGCAGCTGCATAGACACAGCCACTGCTCCCAACTTGACATCCATGTAGGTGTATGTCCCTGAATTCACAATGCATGCATTTGGGGACATGCACCTACACCCGCACGAGTCAGATCTGTCCCTGCAGCCACTGCGTCCCAACTGACATGAATGGGACTGCCTGCACAGAACACCCGTACATTCCTGTGTGGGTAAACACAGCTCTACATAGGCATACACTTTAGTACACCCCAGGTGAATGAGGCCTTAGTAGGAATTTTGTAAGCTACGTTAGATTTGTGTGTACAAATAAGAATTTTAGTGATTTTGTGGAAATATTGATTTGAGAAACATTTGCACAAATATTGCGGGGCCATAAAAACCCAGTAGCACCTTCTTTTTATTCTATTGGTCATGTTTTTCTAAAAATGTATGGTTTTTGGGGTCTTTTACAAACTCTAAAAGCTGTAAGGGAAAAATGAAAACCTAATATAAGAAATAGAGAAAAAAAGCGTCACAAACTAAATAGAACAAAAGCTGCACTCCTAGCCAAAAAAAAAAAAGTAAAAACGTGAATAAATCAAAGAGTGCGCTAAATAGAAGTAAATACTTCACTATTAATGTCACTAAGAAATTCAGATTTTTTCCCCCCAGGTAAAGAGGAAATTTCAGGTAGATGGATAATGAAGGAAGACGCTCAGCTGAGAGATGTAATGGAGGGGGTAAACTTAAGAACAGTGGAGGATTTGAAAAGGGAAGGATTTTCACTAGGATAGATATATGGAGGTATAATCAATTAAAACAATTTGTGGAGAAATTGACGAAGCCCCTTAGAACTAGGAAAGAGTGGAATGAATTTGAGAAATTTTTAGAAGACCGAGGTGATGGGAAACACAGCACTGCTAAAGCATATAAAGCTCTCACGGATTTAGATAGTAAGTTTAAATTAAAGTATATAGAAAAATGGGAAAAGGATTTAGGAGTGGAGTGGGAAGAGCACACACTGAGGAAAATATATAGAATGGTACACGAAAATATTAGTATGCGTGAGGTGGAAATGAATTTTAAATCTTTGACAAGGTGGTATGTTACACCGGTGATAAGAGCACAAAATGAGGGAGGAGAAGCAACCTTGGTGTTGGCGAGGATGTGGAGGGTTGGGCACGATGTATCACATATGGTGGGAATGTCCAAAAATACAAATATATTGGGAAAAAGTTATAAATCAAATCACGATTATCACTGGATTGGAGATAGGATTGGACCCTGAAACCTGTCTTGTCCATAATTCAATATTATCTGGAAATAAATATAAAGAACTGGGTATATTGTGTTACCTAAATGCAGCAAAAAGTCTGATTCCTAAGTTTTGGCGTAAAGTTGAGGCACCGAGGGAAGAGGATTGGATGAATAGAGTGGACCAGATTGCTAGATTGGAAAAACTTTATTATATGCAGGAAGATAGGATGGTGACATATCATATGAAATGGGAGAAATGGGAGGAGTTCAAAGTAAAGGTAAAGGAAGGTACTGAGTAAGTAAGCGTAAAGAAAAGGGAAAGAGAGGACAAGAAGAAAGCAGGGGAAAAAAAGGGGGAAAGGATAAGGAAAAGGAGAAAATATAATAACCAGCCTTTCTCTCTTTCTTTTCCTTTTTCAAACCTCGGTAACCAGAGGATATGAGATACAAGTCGATCAGACAGATGTCAGGGGTATAATGTAGTGGGGTGGGAGGGTTGAAAGAAAGGGAGGTATGGGGACAAAATGTAAATGATACGAAATTAGTGTTTTATGAGAATTTGTAATGTTATATTTTCCATTATGGAAATGTGTATTGTTTTACTTGAAAAATAAATATTTTAAATTAAAAAAAAAAATAGAAGTAAATACAAAAATTATTAGTTTAAAATAATGATGTCCATGATAAAAAAAAATATTATATAAAAGTATAGCCACCATCACAAAGTAATTAAACAGTTCTGAAATCTTGTATAAATCAAACACCGTGCAAAAAATAAAAAAAAAAAAAATCCACCACCGAATGAAATGGGTACACTCACCAGAGCTCCATGCTGACCAGATTATAAGTCAGCAAAGATAGCGTTTGCTCTGGGAGCGATGATCAGCAGAAGTAATCCAAACTGGGAGCAATATACTGCAAGCAGCCAATCAGCACAATACGGAATAGCCTTAACAGCAGGTAGCCATCACGTCTCCATACCATAGATCATGTTCAGGGAATCAAAAGGAAATCATGGTGCAGTACGTTTAAAACCGCATTGTTTTATTAAAACGTCAGAAATGCACTCACAACAGGGTGTCTAGCCGACACCAGCAATGACAGCCTCAAAAAAGCAAGCAGGGACGGAGCCTCGCTCACCGCGATATCACAGCCGAAAGTAATACGAGAAGCGTCCTGACGTCACATCCAAAAGAAGCCCCGCCCTACTAGTTTCATCATCCGACGTCCTCACGGGGCAGAAACTTTCCGCCCCGTGAGGACGTCGGATGACGAAACTAGTAGGGCGGGGCTTCTTTTGGATGTGACGTCAGGACGCTTCTCGTATTACTGTCGGCTGTGATATCGTGGTGAGCGAGGCTCGTCCCTGCTTTTTTGAGGCTGTCATTGCTGGTGTCGGCTAGACATCCTGTTGTGAGTGCATTTCTGACGTTTTAATAAAACAATACGGTTTTAAACGTACTGCACCATGATTTCCTTTTTTGATTCCCTGAACATGATCTATGGTATGGAGACGTGATGACTACCTGCTGTTAAGGCTATTCCGTATTGTGCTGATTGGCTGCTTGCAGTATATTGCTCCCAGTTTGGATTACTTCTGCTGATCATCGCTCCCAGAGCAAACGCTATCTTTGCTGATTTATAATTTGGTCAGCATGGAGCTCTGGTGAGTGTACCCATTTCATTCGGTGGTGGATTTTTTTTTTTTTTTTTTTGCACGGTGTTTGACTTATACAAGATTTCAGAACTGTTTAATTACTTTGTGATGGTGGCTGGACTTTTAAATATTTTTTTATCACGGACATCATTTTAAATGAATAATTTTTGTATTTACTTATATTTAGTGCACTCCGATTTATTCACAAAAATGAAAACCTACTGATTTTTAGAGAAATTTAGCAATTTACAATTTTACGTACGTTTGATGTTCACCATTTCGCAAAAAGGCACAATTTAAAAATAAATATTTGTTAATTATTAACTCAGTACAGGTTAAGATTTTATATGTACTTGGAATTTATTAGGATTTAAAATTTGCTGTTTTTATCTGCCAATAAGGATTTTAGTGTATTTTTAATGAAAATATTGTTTGAAGTACAAATATCACAGGGCCTTAAAAATCAGAAGCACCTTCTTTTTTATTCCACTGGTCATGTGCTTTCAGAAAATGTATGGTTTGGGGGGGGTCTTTTACAAACTCAGAGCTGTAAAGGAAAACTAAAAACGGTCTGGCCTGCAAATGAAAACCACTGCTTTGTGTGTGAAAGCTTCGGTCTTCAATGCAGCAGGCCAAAACACTTATCGCCACAATCACAGACCTGCAATGAGAAACACATACTCCCTAGTGTATCTAGCTCTGAAAGCCGCCTTGTGTAGATATTCAAAAGCCCTGAAACTGCTGCTAGGAACCACCATCCTGGATGTTCCATCAGCTGCCCCAGCAGAGTCTAAGTTGTTACTCATGCCTTACATGGTATATAGTGAGGTGAGGGGTGGAGAAGCTGCACGCACAGAGTGGTCAGGCACTCTCAGACAGGAAGAGGACTATGACGTGCAAAGAGGAAGGGGCCTGTACTAGGGAATTATCTAGATACATTTTCATAGAAAGTTCAAAGGCATGTTGCAAGTGAACAAAAATAAATGTAAAAAGCACTGCAAGTGACCATTTAAAATATGTGATTTGTTTGTATGCGCTTTGATGTGTAATATTTAATTTGGTGACAGTCTCTTTAAAAAAGACTGATACTTTTAGAATATTAAGAAAGAATATAGAACATGCTTTCCATTTACCTGTGAAGTTGATTTAGTTTCAGAAGTAAATTCTGTAGAACTGTACTCTGAGAATTTGGAAGACTCTTTAATTCTTGTTTGGCAATGAAAGATTCATTTTCAGTGTCAGCATCAGAATGCTCAGACAATGAAAGAGACTCTTTTAGTTTTTCAGTGCTTTCTGGATCATCATGCTCTAACTTTTTGCTATCTGGTGAATCTTTTACTTGTGCAAAACTCTTAGGCTTCCCTTCTTTAGAAGGCCGCCCCACCATAGTCCCTTCCCTAAAGCCTTTGGCAAAAGGATTGCAGTCAATCTTTAGTTGGGTAATCTGAACATTCTGATATGCGGTCACTGCAAAAAACTCCGTCTGTGGGAAGGTGAAGGTGTGAACATCAGGTCCGTTAAGTTGTATTACTTCTGTGGCCTTGTCAGCAGGGATAACATGTAGCCTTGGCAAGTAGCGGTGCATAGAGTGGAGGATGATGTGACCTTCTTGGTCCAAAATATTATTGGTTAACTTCAGCTTATAGAAGGAAACAGGTTGGTGCATCCAGTACTGCCCAGTTGATGGAGACTCGGGATGAATGAACGCTCTTCCTAGTACATGCGGCTCTGCTTTCCCACCAGGCTCCCACCACTTGCCATTCCACTTGTATTTGTGAGTGTCCAATGGAGTGATGTCCATAGCAAGGATGTACTTCTGGTAAGGGTCCATACCCGATACCCAGTAGCGACAATAAGGAAACATCCTTCTTCCTTGCTTTGTTAATACCATCTCTGTACTACAGCGGTAAAACTCATTCCACATGTTGTTGTTATCCAGGGTTACAGTAATTCCTCCAGAAATACAATCAGCTGACAGAAAGGTATTAGACTTTGATTCATGCGGTCCAGGCTGGACAAGTGGTGCAACTGCAGATGCATCCCGATTGGCTACAAGTATCCTTTCTTTTTTATCACCCTGTGATTGGTGTAAGATTACAAAGTAAGCAGGGGTTGTTGATGGAGGTTTACTCCCACTTTCTGGAGCTGCTTCTAGCATCTTATTTTCCTCCATGATGGTTACAAATCTTGAAAACTTACTCAGCAGGCTTGGCATACCATTGAAAATTCATTTTCCTAAAAGCAATGTATGAAAATTTTAAATGAAGGATTGTCAAAAAACAATTATTGTACAAAGTATGGACATTATTTAACCAACATTTAAAAAAACCTGCTACACTAGCAACTTTTAAATTGGTTCTTCTGTCCTGATCAAGGTTACCATTTAAATTTTTTTGGGTAGAATTAATATATTTGAAGTTATATTTTTACTTTGTTTCCTTTATGCGTTCTTGAACACCCCTGTGCTGATGCACAAAAAAAAATGTTCTCTGAAGAGGATAAGAGCCCAACTACTTTCGGAGGTCCAAAACCACCCAGAATATTATTGGAAACTTCACAAATACCAACACATAGAGGTGTGTTGTGTCCAAAACTGTGTAGATTCTTGGGAGAAAATATATCTCGCACATTTGGTATTAAATACCTCCACCAGCTTTATTTAGGATCCAATTTTAAGTCATTTGAGGCTTTTCAGCAGAATACATGGTTTTTCCATTATATCCAACTTTACCAAGCAGTAGCAGCTCAACTGGAGTTGACGGGTGTAGTTTGCAACCGCTTTCTCTAGAGAAAAGGTTACTTATTTCTGAACATAACAAATTGACCTCTACTTACTATTCAAATATGATATTTCTGAAATTTCATAAACTATACAAATTAAATACTCAAATGAAAATTGGATGTTCTTAATATTGCAGAAGAGGTTTGGATGAGAGAGTGTAGTCCTGAACCACTTTCTCAGTTATGCCCACTAAAGAAAAGCGGATTCAACTTAAAAATTATACCCCGAGGGTGTTATTTACTAAAACTGCAGTGTGCAAAATATGGCGCAGCTCTGCATAGAAACCAATCAGCTTCCAGGTTTTAGGCCTCATGCACACTGAACGTTCTAAAAGTGTTATCCATAGTATGAAAAAAATCTAAATTTACTGTATACTACAAATCCAACTTAGCTCAGGAGTCAGTATCCAGCCTCACATCCCTTTTTGGATATACTGTGGTGATACAGTGGGGAAAGCATATATTCGTATTTATAGTGGGAAAAAGATGAAAAAGTGTAGAATGCGGTAACCTCAGTTCTTTTTCAGGGAGTGTAGCATTAATTGGTTCCCAGGGACAGAGTCCAGGACACTCCAGCAAGGGAACAGGCACTCCACGAATATGCATGTGTGTGTGTGTATATATATATATATATATATATATATACACACACACACACATATATATATACACATACATATATACACACATATACGTTACATTTTCCCTTAAACCATAACTAAAGGCAGAACGTTTTTTGGGATACAGAGGATTAGAACACCTGTCCATTTTTATTGCTGTGTCCCTGGGAAGATTCCTCCTCTCTATTTTTCCTGTTTACCGTTATCATTGAAAGTGAAAGTAAAAGCAAATCCCAAGATTTTGGGTTGTCCCCACAAAAATAAGAGGGGAAATCTTCCAATGGGGACTCTAGTTCTGGTAACCTGGGGGGGCCCAAGGGATTCCACTAATTTGCAGGGATTTCCTCTAACTTCCTGTTTGGCTATGGGACTGGAAGTGAAGGGAACTCTCTGCAACAGGACACAGCTAGTGGAAAAAAAAAAATGCATGCCTGCCACGTATAGGGGAAGTCTGAGGGAAAAGAGGCCCTAAGAATGAGGACTAGAACAGAAAGGACCTGCAAATCCACAAAGAGCTGCGAGAGGTGCAGAGGGAGCACGTAAGCACAGGGGTGCTGTTAGGAGATCTGAGGGACCATACCAGAGGACTAAGCTTTCAGTCTAAGCAGCAGCACTGCAAAAGCAAACTAGGAGGCTTAAAGACTTTTGTATTTTGAACTGATGGTGGAAACCCCTGCAAAAGGAACTGCGTGTTGAAATTTGTTTTCATTTTCAATAAAAAAAAGTGGGCCACCTAGCCCTCAAACATACAGTAGTTTCTAATTTGGGGATTCACTTGAGAATTCAAACATCAGAATTCGCCCCTCACAGCAAAAGCCTCCATCACATCAGAGCCTTCCTTTTTTACATGCGTTTCCCTCTTCATAGCATTAGCTCCCACCCTACATCAGAGTCCACTTTTAACATCAGAGTTGTCTCTTGTGCATCCAAGTGCTCCCCCCCAGCACATCAGAGCTCCGCCTTCCAGGTTAGTGCACAGAGGGACAACGAGAGACACCTAGAACAAAAAAGGTTTTAATGTAGGAGTCAGAAGCCAGCAGAATTCTGGTTCAACTCCAGTTGAAGGTAACAGAGCATTTGACTCGAGAAAAAAATTTCTAGGGTGAAAGCCTCACACCAGGGCGAAGTATGTGTTCCACATATAGTGACACACTTTGCAAAAGAGAGTTCCAAGTTCTAACATTGTGGGAATAACCATTTCAGATATGCCCCTGTCCTTCTGAACCTGTGTTCCAACAGCCATGCAGTTTAAGCCAGTGACCTGGAAGTAGGATGATAAATTGGCCTTTGAGATAAAAAAAAAAAAAAAAAAGTCCTGATGATCTATAAGAGCCCACATAGCATGCTCCAGGAGTTCTATCCGGTAGCAGTACCTCAGCAAATCTGAAGCTAAAAGGATTACAGAAATGCCCGCCATCTTGATCCTGTGTAGCGGAGAAGTAATATTGGGGAGGAAAGGCTGTGGGGTTTCTTCTGATCCCATGGAGCCACCAGAGCATCCAATGCTTCTGCTAAAGAAAGGCAAACCTGTCCAGTTTGTTGTTGAACTTTAACACCAGAAGGTCTACATGTGGCATGTCCTAAATGAAACAGGCACTAGAACACCTTTGCGAGTCTCCCTGCCAAATGTTCATGCCTAGAATATAAACAGTGGACAGGATGGAATCTGAGGTTTTTCTGAGAAAACAATCAGCTATACCACTCTTATTATTTATATCATCCAGTACTCAAAGGCAGATGTCTTAATTATAATTCCTCTTAGCTGCTGGAACCCCTTATCCCCCTGGATAAAGTACAATAGAAAAAAAGAAAGTGCCAGCACTGAAAATGCAAAACAATCATAAATGTCAATTAATATTAATCAAAAAGTCTTTGTGTATGTAAAAAAAAACCCTCAACATTCCATAATGCAAATCTTCTTTAGACATTGTCCTCTGTCATCACCGAAAATGCCAATTTAAAAAAAAAAAAGTAATAATCCTATACCCACAGTTGATCCAGAGGAAAGCAAAAAAAAAAAAAAAAAAACCCAAACCATGACTCAATTTGCTTCTGTAGGGAAAAAAAAATTCCTGTTCTCCCAAAGAGGCAAATCGGATATTTCCTGGATCAACTTTACTTATAAATGTTAGTATCCAGCTATATTCTGTGTATCTAAGAAAAAATCCAGGCCTTTAGATTCAGGTGTTCCAATTACCTCCATGGCCACAGGTGTATAAAATCAAGCACCTAGGAATGCAGACTGCTTCTACAAACATTTGTGAAAGAATGGGTCACACTCAGGAGCTCAGTGAATTCAAGCGTGATACCGTGATAGGTTGCCACCTGTGCAATAAGTCCATTCATGAAATTTCCTTGCTACTAATAATTCTACGGTCAACTGTTAGTGGTATTATAACAAAGTGTAAGCAACAGGGAGCAGCAGTAACTCAGCCACAAAGTGGTAGGCCAAGTAAAATGAAACTGTCTGCAGAGTCAATAGCTAAAGACCACCAAACTTCGTGTGGCCTTCAGATTAGCACAACAGTGCATAGTGAGCTTCATGGAATGGGTTTCCATGGCTGAGCAGCAGCATCCAAGCCTTACATCACCAAGTACAATGCAAAGCATTGGATGCAGTGGTGTAAAGCACGCCGCCACTGGACTCTAGAGCAGTGGAGACATGTTCTCTGGAGTGACCAATCACGCTTCTCGGTCTTGCAATCTGATGGATGTGTCTGGGTTTGGCAGTTGCCAGGAGAATGGTACTTGGCTGACTGCATCATGCCAAGTGTAAAGTTTGGTGGAGGGGGATTATGGTGTGGGGTTGATTTGCAGGGGTTGGGCCTGGCCCCTTAGTTCCAGTGAAGGGAACTCTTAAGGCATCAGCATACCAAGACATTTTGGACAATTTCCTGCTCCCAACTTTGTAGGAACAGTATGGGGATGGCCCCTTCCTGTTCCAACATGACTGCACACCAGTGTACAAAGCAAGGTCCATAAAGACATGGATGGATGAGTGAGTTTGAGGAACTTGACTAGTCTACACAGAGTCCTGACCTGAACCAGACAGAAAATCTTTCAGATGAATTAGAGCGGAGACTGCGACCCAGGCATTCTTGTCCGACATCAGTGCCTGATCTCACAAATGTGCTTCTGGAAGAATGGTCAAACATTCCCATAGACACATTCATAAAACATGCAGACAGCCTTCCTAGAAGAGTTGAAGCTGTTATAGCTGCAAATTGTGGGCCAAGACTGGGTAATGTGTTAGGAGTGTAAGGATGCCCCACCGATTTATGGAAATGAAAATTCTCAACCTAGAGAGGACTGAATTCAAAAACACCCCAAAAATCAAAGTGGAAAAAATGATGCAGCAGGCTAGTCCATTCTGCTGAAATTTCATTGCTGCAACTCAAAATGGTACTTTATATGGCCCCTACCTGCTTGTATGAATGCCTGACAATGTTAGGACATGCTCCTAATGAGACGATGGATGGTGTCCTGGGGTATTTCCTCCAGATCTGGACAAGGGCATCACTGAGCTCCTGAACAAACTGAGGTGAAACCTGGCAGCATCAGATGGAGCAAAACAGGATATCCCAGAGGTGTTCTGTTGGATTTAGGTCAGGCGAGCATGGGGGCCATTCAATGGCATCAATTCCTCCATCCTCCAGGAACTGCCTGTATACGCTCGCCACATGAGGTCGGACATAGTCGTGCACAGGAGGAACCCAGGACCCACTGCATCAGCACAGGGTCTGACAATGGGTTCAAGGATTTCATCCTGATACCTAATAACAGTCAGGGTGCCATTGTCTAGTCTGTAGAGGTCTATGCGTCCCTCCATGTATATTCCTCCCCAGACTATCACTGGCCCACCAACACAACGGTCATGCTGAACGATGTTACAGACAACATAACGTTCTCCCGAAAAGCACAGGGTGACAGTGGTGGACCTGCCAATTCTGGTGTCCAATGGCAAATGCCAATCAAGTGCTATGGTGCCGAACAGTGAGCACAAGGCTCATTAGAGGACGTCACGCCATCAGGCCACCCTAATGAAGTACGTTTCTGATTGTTTGGTCAGAGACAGACATTAACACCAGTGGCCTGCTGGAGATCATTTTGTAGGACTCTGGCAGTTCTCATCCTGTTCCTCCTTGTACAAAGGAGCAGATACCGGTCCTGCTGATGGATTAAGGACCTTCTACGGCCTTGTTCAGCTGTCCTAGAGTAACTGCCTGTCTCCTTGAATCTCCTGCATGCTCTTGAGACTGTGTTGGGAGAAAAAAAAAAAAAAAAAAAAAAAAAAAAAAAAAACCTGGCAAAATGCACATATTGATGTGCAATCCTGGAGGAGTTGGACTGTCTGTGCAACCTCTGAAGGGTCCAGGTATCACCTCATGCTACCATTAGTGACACTGACCCAAGCCAAATGCAAAACTAGTGAAAAACAGTCATAAAAAAGTAGAGAACATATGTCACTGGCGTCCACCTATAAAACCATTCCTGTTTTGGGGTCATCTCATTGTTGCCCATCTAGTGCACCTGTTAATTTTATTAACACCAAAAGCAGCTGAAACGGATTAACAACCCCCTCTGCTACTTAACTGACCAGATCAATATCCCAGGAGTTTAATTGACGATGCTATACTCTGATTAAAAAAAGTGTTCCTTTAATTTTTTTTGAGCAGTGTACACACACACACACACACACACACACACACACACACACACACACACACACACACACACACACACACACACACGAGATTCCCTACACGGTAAAGGTGATCTGAGCGACTATACAGCTGCTGGATATAAGAGAGAGAAGTATGCATTGAGCACCTATTCAAAGATGCATAAAGTAGGGAAATAAGGCCCAGGGCGCCCGGAAGCTGTTGGCAAAGCTGTTCAAAGGCAGATTTCTGATACGGGGAAGCGGAAGTGCCCTGCAGTGAGGTCAGCCAACGCCGCAATTGGAGGTAGCGGAAAAATTCCACTAGAGGAACATCCCGTGACTCCCGAAGAGAATTTCAGGTGGGGGAAGGTCTGAGAAGTCAAAAAGTGTTGCACTTGTGAAAAAGCATTGGCCTCTCACCAAGAGAACACCCTTGGTTGATCCAAACCTGGCGGGAAGAGAGGATTATTAATAATTTGGAGGAAAAAAGTAGAAAAGGTGACATCAAGCCACTGGAGTAGCGTACGGAGTCCCACATTTGTAGGCCCTGGAGCAAAATTAGACTAAGTGTCATAGGACGCAGGGCAGGGGGAAGCCATAGAAGCGTCGATGTCGCAATAGGGGCACAATTAGGTAGTTCCAGCAGGACCCAGAGCGGAACGTCAGAGGAAGCATGCGACATAGACAGTGGGGCAATCTGGCTCGGCTGATAATACTTAGTTACATTAGGCACCCCAAGACCTCCCTGGAGTCTGTGGACAAAAAGCGTATTCCTGGAGACTCTGGGGTGCCTAAACGGCTCAGACGAAATCAAATAATCATGAATCAATTGAAGGAAATGAGGAGGAACCTGAACTGGGAGGGCTAAATACAACAATTTAGACAGGATGGTAATTTTCACCGAGTTAACCCATCCTATCCAAGATAGGTGCGGAAATTGCCAGGAGTGCATAAGAAAGGACACAGCGAAGCAATGGATAATAATTTGCAGCAAAGAGCCATAGGTGGGGGTCAAGCGAATGCCCAGGTATTCAAAGAGGAAGCCCATTTGTAGGGGGAAGTGGGATTGTAGGTGCGAAACCAAACCTGAGGTCAAAGTAATATTGAGAGTGACAGTCTTATCCAAATTGATCCGGAATCAAGGAGAAGCGTGCAAGAACCTGCTGCAAATTTGAGAGCGTCGTCAGGGGATTAGTGAGAGTCAAGAGGGCATCATCCACAAAAAGGTTCAACTTAAAATTCCTGTCTCACATATGGAACACCCGATATATACAGTCAGCCCGAAGCGCGCGGCTCAAGCATCAGGAAAAAGAGCTCCGGGGACAGGGGGCACCCCTGTCTCGTCCCTCGCCAAATAGGAAAGGGGTCTGAGAAATACCCAGAGTATTTAACCAAAGCTGAAAGGGGAAGAACACAAGGCTTGGATCCAAGAGCCCCAACAAGACGACACATTCCCAGGATAGAGAATCAAAAGAGAGACACACACACACACACACACACACACACACACACACACACACACACAGTGAAGGAAATAAGTATTTGATCCCCTGACGATTTTGAATGTTTGCCCACTCACAAAGAAAGGATCACTCTAAAATCGAATGGTAGGTATATTGTAACACAGAGACAGAATAGCAACAAAAAAAAAATGTATGTCTAAAATTATGCACCGATTTGCATGTTCATGAGGGAAATGAGTATTTGATCCCCTTCACAAAACATGATTAAGTACTTGGTGGCAAATCCCTTGTTGGCAATCAGAGGTCAGACGTTTCCTGTAGTTGGCCATCAGGAGGGATTTTGGCCCACTCCTCTTGGTAGATCCTCTCCAAGTCATTAAGGTTTGGTGGCTGACGTTGGAAACTTGAACTTTCAGCTCCCTCCACAGATTTTCAATTGGATTAAGGTCTGGTGACCGGCTAGGCCACTCCAGGACCTTAATGTGCTTCTTTTTGAGCCACTCCCTTTGTTGCTTTGGCCGTGTGTTTTGGGTCATTGTAATGCTGGAACACCCATCCACGACTCATTTTCAATGCCCTGGCTGAGGGAAGAAGGTTCTCAACCAAGATTTCAAGGTACATTGCCCCGTCCATCGTCCCTTTGATGCGCTGCAGTTTTCCTGTTCCCTTAGCAGAAAAACACCCCCAAAGCAGAATGTTTCCAGCATGTTTGACAGTTGGGATGGTGTTCTTGGGGTCATAGGCAGCATTCCTCCTCCTTCAAACGTGACAAGTTGAGTTGATGCCAAAGAGCTCGATTTTGGTCTCATCTGACCACAACACTGTCAACCAGTCCTCCTCTGCATCATTCAGATGTTCAGCAGCAAACTTCAGACGGGCCCGGACATGTGCTTTCGTGAGCAGATGGACCTTGCGGGCACTGCAGGATTTCAATCCTGGTCAGCATAGTGTGTTAGCAATTGTTTTCTTGGTGACTGTGGTCCCAGCTGCCTGGAGATCATTGACAAGATCCTCACGTATAGTTCTGGCATGATTCCTCACTGTTCTCATGATCATTGAAACTCCACGAAGTAAGATCTTGCATGGTGCACAAGACCTAGGGAGACTGACAGTTGTTTTGTCTTCCATTTGCAAATGATTGCACCAACTATTGTCACTTCTCACCAAGCTGTTGGCGATAGTTTTGTAGCCCAGTCCAGCCTTCTGTAGGTCTAGTCTTGTCCCTGACATCCTTGGACAGCTCTTTGGTCTTTGCCATGGTGGAGAGTTTGGAATATGATTGATTGCTCCTGTGGACAGGTGTCTTTTATACAGGTAACAAAATGAGATTAGCAGCACTCCCTTTAAGAGACTGTTTCTAATCTCAGCTTGTTACCTGTATGAAAGACACCTGGTAGCCAGAAATCCTGCTGAATGATAGGGGATTAAATACTTATTTCCCTCATG